AAAGAAATACAATAGTGAAACTGAGGAGAAGAAAGAACAGTGGCAACAAGTGGATATGAAGAGTATGAGAAAGAAAGAGAGTAGACACATGCTCAAAAGAAAATAAGGCTGGTTGACAATTGTAAAATGTAATAGTTGAAAACTCGAATGTTCTATTCAACTTTAGCACTACTCAGTTGCATATACAATTATGCAAATGCTATTATTGTTTGAGTATAAAAAATAATAGTCAGATTATCACAATTAATAAAGGACTTAAAATATCTCATAACAAACAAAACTAAACGATGAACAATGATTTACTCACAAGATGATATTGATAAGATACTTGTGACAATTGATTTAATGGCAAAACAATTGGTAAATTTTTTTTATTATTTTCGTTTGCTGAAGATAACATCATAAATGATCAAATTGAAGAAGACTTTTATATGAATGACTTGTGTTAACGAATAAAACAAAAACAAAAGTACAATATAGTGATCTGGGGTGTGGGTGTGGGTGTGGGTGTGGGGTGTGGAGTGTGGGTGTGGGTGGGTGTGGGGGGTGGGGGTGTGGGTGTGGGTGTGGGTCTGGATGTGTGCCATAGTTTCAACCACATTTACACCCACACCCACACCCTTAATATATCTTTTTTTATTTTAAATTTTTATTTTGCTGCTATAATATATCTAATACACTAAAGATGTACTTGTATTCAAGGAGAATAACCATTAGGTGAAGATAAAATACAATCCTACTTATTTAATTGTATTCTTTTAACACCTTTTTTCTGCCAGATAGGTAATTACTAACTCTTGAAATGTCTGTTATTTAAACATTTGAAAAAAATTCTTACTTTTGATGGTTTTTTCTTCAATATGCTCGATTGTTAATAAATACATTCGCATGAATAAGAATTGTCATAATAATCAGCATGAAATAACTATAGAAACCACCAAATTCGTATATTTGACGATAATGCATACAAATAGTACCATTTGTATTAATATCTAATAGAAAAAGTATTCTATATAACTATGAAAAGTTAATCAATGACAAAGAATTTTTCAATTTTAATAAGGTTCTTATATTCAATTATAGATTCTAGAAAGAGAAAAACAGATAACTTAAAAGACTTTTGGACTTCTTTGTTCATCATACCACTAAAGTCGTGAAAAATTATATTAAGCAATTTAAATGGTAAAAATCTTAATGAGTCATCAAAACTATGTGAAAGTCAACAAAATCATTCTAAAAATAAGAGCACTAAAGCAGAGAATATTAAGCATTAGATGAAACCATAAGAATTAAAGTAATTAGTATCAGAACTATGAAACATTAAAATAATGAATATAAAATTGAAATTCATTTTTTCCATTATTTATCAATAGACATGCAATTAATCAAGAGTGAACAATGATACAAAAATATTGTTCTCACAAGCGAAAACTTCTAAATGTGTCACCGAAACTTTTTTTCTCCGTTGTAATGATTCGTCAAGTCAAAACTTCGCTCCGAAATCCAGAAGCACTAGCTACAAACACAGCTGTGAAAAAAATCTCAGTTAAAAGTTTTGCAAATATTTGGTATCTATTCGAAGATACTATTTAAGCATGCAATGCTAACTAACACACATCATTCATGAAACTTACGTATTACAATACTGAAATGTGATCCTATACAAATATATGTTTCTAACCATTAAATTTGATGAATCTGTACAAAAATTAATAAACAATACTTCTGCCGATAAAAAGAATGTACTGAGTAATGTAGAAAATAAAAAAGTCGAAAGGAAAAATGTCGAAAGAGAAATGTCGAAAGTAAAAATGTAGAAAAGCAAAAATGTCGAATACTAAAAATGTCGAAAAGTTCGAAGACGGCAAGGATAGAATGTTAGTAGAGTTGATCTTGTAAAAACGGTTGAATGAAAGTTGGCTCACCTGACAAGTAATCAAAAAGCATAAGGTGTAACTGTTAGTCATTACCATAGCATGTACAATAAAAAAATCTTCTCATAGAATATAAAAAACACTTTAAAAAATAGAAAATACATAATTAATTGCCGCTTCTTCCGAAACAAAAAAGGGCAGTTATAAAGATTAGAAGTTAAGCTAATAAAGTCTAATTATCAGACTAATTGATAAAAGAAACGGCAAAAGTGTAAGCAAGAATATTAGTTTCTATAAATAGTGTGATTATCATATTTTTAACACTCATTTATACTCTGATAAAACGATATATAAACTATTATGGCCAGTGCAATATCATTTATAACAAGTAATAAAGGTAAACCGTTATTGGTTCATGATAATTACATTTATTATGCCAGTAAAACAACAGCTACAGTTAAATACTGGAAATGTGAAGATCGTAGCTGCAATGCCGGTGTTCATACAAGCATCAAAGATGCGTTTATAAAAACAGTTGGTAATCATTCACATTTACAATCACCTGAGGAAATTGAAGTGCGTACATTTAAACAAAATATAAAACGCTGAGTTATAAATGAAACAACAGCAATAACTAAAATTTATGATGAAGAACTTGCTCGACAACAAATGTCACAAACAGCAGCTGCTATTATTCCATCATCATATGAAGCAAGTATGTATACATATTTGTATTCATCTTTGTCGGAATTTTCTGAATTACTAGATTATTAAATTAATTTCAGATTCAGGTTTAAATCGTGCACGTAGAAAAATGACTCCTGTATTGCCAATGTCATATATATTTGATATACCAGCGCAATACCAGGTTACACTTAATGACGCACGGTTTTTATTATGTGATAAACCGTTAAGTAATAAATGTTTATTATTATTCGGTACAGATGAACAATTAACATTTTTATTTTCTGTCAAACACATTATGATGGATGGTACTTTTGGCACATGTCCACCATATTTTGATCAAGTGTATATTATTCATGCTGTTAAACATGAAAAAGTATGTGAACTCTTTCTAGTGAAGTTTTCCTCAGGCCAATGAAATAAATCTCTATACGCATGAGCATCTTACTCATTTTTTTAAAATTTTTAAAGGTTATCCATGTGTCATTAGTTTATTATGTGATCGTAAAGCTGCTACTTACAGAGAACTATTTCGTGAATTGAAACATCATGCTACTCGTTTAAAAACAATATTTAATCCAAATACAATAACAAGTGATTTCGAAAAGGCTTTAATTAGAGCTGTTGCTCATGAAGTAAGAGTTTTCACCCAACTACCTAAAGCAGTAAAAGTGTACGACTTTTTCAATCTCCTTGTTTTAGTTTCCACAAGCACGACATGCCGGCTGTTATTTCCATTATACAAAGGTTATCTATCGCAATATACAAAATTTTGGTTTAACAAAAGCTTATTGTGATAATGAAATTACAAGAACTGCATGTCGAAAATTAATGGCACTACCATTATTACAATTAAATGATGTTAAACTGGCATTTGAAGATTTAAAAGATGATTCACCTATTATATTACGAGATTTATTTAATTATTTTGAAACATTTTGGATGACCAACTTACCACTTCATCTTTGGAACGTATCGGATCTTCAAATTCGAACAAATAATTATTGTGAAGGTGTTTGTACACCCTTGCTTTCTTTATTAGTACATCTATTTCAACAAAAATGCTGAAAAATCCTAATCTTCGGCAAATTTTTCTTACACTTGTCATAAACATTCTCTCTGTCTCTAGGGTGGCACAATAGATTCAATAATCGAGTGAATAAATATCATCCAAATATATGGTATTTTATCAATTGTTCAAAACAAGATGAAGTATATTTTCGTCATCGAGTAATACAAATGCGAGCTGGTGCAACTGGCAGACCAAAAACAAAAAGGACAAATTGTGTACAACGTCGGATTGATACTCTTGCTGATCGTTATGCAAATGATGAGATAAATTTACAAGAATATTTAGAAGGTTTATCGTTTGTTGTTGCTAAGGATAAAACGATAAAGCAAAAAAAATAAATAAAAAATGATTGATTATTAGATATTTTTTGTTAAATAAATGTTTGTGTAAAATCATTAAAAACATAGTTTCGCCCATTTTTCTTTTCCCCGACAATCCTAACACTTCTAAGATCTTACCCTTGCCATTTTCGAACTTTTCGACATTTTTAGTATTCGACATTTTTAGTATTCGACATTTTTAGTTTTCGACATTTCTAGTTTTCGACATTTTTCCTTTAGATATTTTTAGTTTTCGACATTTCCACTTTCGACATTTTTGCTTTCGACATTTTTTTTTTCTACATTACTCAGGCATACCTTTTATTTAAAATTACTTACCACTTAAATAGTAGCCTATATATAACAAGTATATTTTTACTTATTTTACAACACTATCTATTCAAAAATTCTAATCGTAACTTACACACGTGTTGAACGAGATGATGACATTCCCAGGTGGATCATTCCGGCCGTCGGAAACGGCGTCGCATCCGGCCTGAAACGACCATAAAACGGCGAATTACTGCAGTAATTTTGGCCTTATTTCGCCGTAATCCGTCATACCATATTACGACCACCGTCTATCGCTAGAAAACGGCGGTCGTTTTTTTCCGGTTTTGCTTCCGTAATCTGGTATGACGGATTACGGTGCCGTTTATCGACGTTTTACATCGTTAATCGCCGTTTTATAGCCGTTTCAGGCCGTTTACGACGCCGTTTTATTGGACCTGGGATTAATTAGTGTACTTTAGACATATGATAGAACAGGAAAGAAAATATATTGGTAGAAAAAAACAACCAACTAAAGAAATTAATGAGAAAAAAAGAAAAGAAATATGTTAAAAATATAGATGACGTGTATAGACGATAGTGGTATGCGATCAAAAAAAAGATAATTAATTGTCTGGTGGTGTTTTTTTACTACTGAATAATTTAAATCATTTTAAAATATATTTATGCAAATTTTACCAAAATGTAAATATAAAGAAAAGGATAGCTAAAATTTGATTGATCAATACTGCGATAACTAATAGATGATTTTCAATTCGTATTATCCTTTATTCATTCTAGAAGAAAGTAAAAGAAAAACAAATAAAAATGATGAACAGATTCTTAGAATACCGTTCAACATCTCTAACAATTCTAAAGAAATCTTGCTTGGGAAAGAAAAAAATAAACTAAACCGTAATGACACTATATTCGACGTTTTTTGAAATGAACGTTACCATTGTTATCATCAATTTTAATGCAAATATTGCCATTATGTAGTGGTTAGTGTCCTCCACAGGTATGAATTTTTGCAAATGAATCCGGACTGTAGCTAAGCGACATTCGACAGATATGTTTACAGTCGCATTACGGTTTTCAAACTTTTATTTTATATTTCGAAACATCAAAACCTCATTAATTGCCGGATTGAGTTCGGTTATGAAATCATACCTGGGACCTAAACCCATATTTCTTTTTCATGACGGTCCGACTTGTGCTTCAAATACCTAACCTGGTTGCGAGACACTCGTAGTCATTGATGAATTATGAAATGATATACGAAAAAGATTGTTTCTTATTAGATGAATAGTATTTTATTAAGATTAGATTATTAAAACAATCGGTACAAAAATTATATTAATATTTTATTGCCATTATCGTATGAACTATTGGATTGTTTTATCATTACAATTACTTTCTCTAATTAAACCTATTTATGTGTCTAATATAATTATTGTACTTCTTTATAAAATGAAATTTGCCTATGAGCGACGTCTATCATTGACAAAACGACAAAAATACGTATTATTATTATCTGATTCAAATTCATCTATTTGAGTTTTTATTCTTTTTCATAATTCATTACTAGTACAACATATTTCGTAATCTAACACGCTTTTATCTTGACTCAGTAATTATTGTTTTTTACATAGTGATTGCGAAATTTCTACTTATGCAATTACTTTTATGCTATGCGCACTGTCCTTATAAAAACAAGTATGAAATATCAACAGGTTACTTCGTTCTTCTCTTAAGAAAAGAACAAAAAAAAA